AGACATAATAGCCATCCAGGAGACTTGGAAGTCGTCAGAGCAGATCGCCAGCATGCATACTGGAGATTATGTGCTCTATGCACAGTCGCGCATCGGCAAGGGAGGCGGTGTGGCGGTGCTGGTGCGGAAAACTCTCCGCTCCAAGCGTATACCTCTCACCATCCCCCAGCATGACACCAGCCTTGAAGTGGTGGTGGTCCAGGTTGCTCTGGACCAGAACCGTGATCTTATTGTAGCGAGTGCCTATATGAGACCACCACCGCAAGTAACGCAATCCTTCAGGCGGTTAGTAAACTGCCTTCCAGCCTCGTCGCCGCTCCTGCTGTGCGGGGATTTCAACACGCATCACCCACAGTGGGAGCCATTCTTGGAGTCTTCTCCAAGCGAGGTTGCTGCAGAAATTTTAGAACTGTGCACGGATGCGGGACTCACCTTGGTTAACACCCCTGGTGAGATCACGTATGCTCGTGGCACGAGAGAACGATCCTGTATCGATCTGACATGGTCAAAGCATTTGACTGTGTCAGATTGGTCAGCTTCTGTGTCGCCGCTTACTGATCATTACATGCTAACATTCACGCTGCATCAGGCATTTATGGATACCATACCTTCGGCACCTAGGATATTCTACAGTTGGGGGAAGTGCAAATGGGATTTATTCGTCAAGGACCTCGACGCACAACTTCCGGCATACAACTATAAACAGCAGTCCACCGTCATTAAATCTTTCACGAGAGCGTTTATAACTTTGTATCGACGACATTGCACCCCCGGCATGCACAAGGATGGTCCCAGGCTTTGGGACGACACTCTCATGGAGGCAGAGCGGATTGCTACAGACAGCAAGGCCCGCTATCTACAGTTACCGACGCCCGACCGTGAGGCAGAAATGCAACGGACAAGGAGTCAATTCTTCCTCCTACTCCGAGAGCGCTTGCGCAACACGTATCTACGTCGCATCAGCAAGTTAAATCCAGGCGAACCACTCGCATGGAAATACATTTCCGGACGAAAAAAGGCATCACTTCCATCTCCCACATCAATGTTGTTGGGAGATGGTCAACACACTTACAAAACAGCAAGGAGAGCAGCGAATGCTCTCAATCGCATCTTTTTTCCACTTCATCCCTCTCACAAGGCAGTTAGGTTTTCCAAAGGCATCAAAAGACAGAACCCATCTTTGGGCATTGTTTCTTCTTCTCTTTTTAGGCAGCAGAACAACTACGAGTCTGCCGCTACATCTAATTCAGTTTTTTCATTCTCATCTAGTTCAGAGCCACAGAATAACAAAGAATCTGCCACTACATCTGGTTTAGCTGCTTATTTCTATTCCCCTCTTGAAGCACCCTTTAATCACTACAGAACCGCTTGCTGCGCTACGTAATACGCCGTATGGCAAGGCCCCCGGACCGGATGAAGTCTACAGTGAGGCACTGCGACATATTTCGTCAAAGGGTCTTCGATTCCTTCTTCGCTGCGTTAACCACAGCTGGACGACCGGTACGATCCCGGCTGAGTGGAGACGCGCTACCATCGTCCCACTCTTAAAACCCGGTAAGTCGCCGGAACTGCTTGAGTCATATCGACCCATCAGCCTTACTTCCATTGTGAGTAAGGTTGCTGAGAAAATGGTACTGAAGAGATTGCTTTGGGTGTGGACGCCTCACCCCCACCAGTATGCATATCGTAGTATGCGTACCACGACGATGCAGCTGGCACACCTGATACACGAAGTGGAGCATAATAGAAATCATTATTTCCAAGTGAACCTTCCCAAGAAGAGCGGTATTGGTAATCAACTCCACTAAAGGCCCCATTGGACTCTGCTGGTGTTGGTTGACTCCAGCAAGGCCTTTGACTCCATAGATCATCGAGTCCTCAGTCGCTTGCTGGCCAATATTCCGGGGGTGAATTGTAGAAGGTGGCTTAGAAACTTTCTATGTGGTCGCTACGCGAAGACACGAGTTGGTAATAGAAACAGCGATCGGCGTCCCATGCTGCGAGGAGTTCCTCAGGGGTCCGTACTGGGACCATATTTGTTCTCCCTTTACGTACACCCACTTCTCAATCTGCTGAACAGCTTTGCGGGTGTCACAGCAGACATGTATGCGGACGACCTCTCTATTATCGTTAAGGGGCAGTCCCGGGAAGACGCCATTCCCACTGCCAACATGGTTCTTAAAAAACTGCATTCGTGGAGTCAGGAAAATGGCCTGGCCATTAGCCCGTCAAGGTGTGAAGCCGCTTGGTTCACACTCTCCACGCACACGGAGTCAGATTATGATCGTGAAGGAAAGTGGCCCCTGGTAGTGGCTGGATGTAAAATCCCAGTCATGACCATGAGGGCATCGCGAACTACGAAGCTTCTTGGCATGGATCTCGATCCACGACTGACGCTAAATGTGGCGGCCTCCAAGCAATGCGCTGCCACTTCGCAACGGATATCGCAGCTACGCTGCATAGCGCATAAAGAGGCGGGACCATCTCCACATGACCTACGCACGTTCGTCATTGGATATGGTGCTTCCAAATTACGCTGTGGCAGCGAGCTCATATGGGCAGTAGCGACGGATTCAGCGGAAAATGAGATGCAGAAGACGTACGCAACTCTGGCGCGCATTGTCAGCGGAGTTCCGAGCACTGTCGACCCGGAATCCGCACTCCTAGAGGCTAATATGCCGCCGCTCCATGTCCTCTGCCTGCGCGCGCGGCTCTCCATATTTGAGAACACACGCGCATGTCAGATGGACTGGATGCGGAGACGTCTTTCCTGAGCCACCGCCTCGCGCAGGTTTCCGCATCTCGCCATTATCTTGGGACGAGCTGTATGCCTTCGTAGACGCGTACACAAAGGACTATGGCATCACTCAGAGCTCACCACGCGAAGAGCGGTTCTTTCGCAGCTCCATTCCTCCCTGGTTTGCGGCCTCCGCACACCGGGTCACCATTGGCGTGGAACTTCCGATAGACCACTCAATAACTGACGAGGAAGAGCTGATACGGGAAAAGCGCAGAGTCAGCGAAGAGGCTCTAGCGCTGCACAGCCATCGTTCGTGGATACTCGCGACGGATGGCGGTGTCGACGTTCCCAAGTCAGCCGGGGTTGGAATACTGCTTTCATCCCTCAATTCATCGGAGATAATAGAAAAGGCCAGTATAAACTGCGGCACACGCCCATGCAGCTACAGGACGGAATCCCGTGCGCTGCTTCTAGCCCTAGAAAGGCTGATTATCCCTCGTATCCAACACAGGCATAAAACCCTGCTTGTGGTTACAGACAGTCAGTCTCTTCTTGCGGCTTTAAACAAGGGCCCGCTCAGTCAGACAGACTGGACGGAGGATCAGATCTGGCAGCGTCTATTAACACTGACGTGTGCTGGCTGGTCTGTGCACCTGCAGTTTTGTTACGGGCATTGTGGAGTACATGCTAACGAGCTTGCAGATCAGTATGCGACGCAGACTATGGAGACTGGACAATACACAGAACATGGAATTGCACCTTTATGACATACGGATCTGCTGACATGTTTTAGTACCCTGCTCACCAATAAGTGGCGTAGTACCATTCGTCAGTACACTCACCGCTACTTGCTTTGCGGCACAAGGCCATCAGATCTCAGCGGCAAGGACCTAATCACTCAGGAAGTTCTTCACCGTCAAGAACTGGTTCACCTCGCAAGGGCAAGGTGCGGGGAATCTGAGCTCTGGGGTCGACTATACTGGGCTGTGAGAGATTGCACGAACCAATGCCGTTTCTGCAACATCTCACCAGAACAGTCTGCATATATGCGCTCTAACAACGACCCAACTGCACCTGGGACGGACACTGTTCCCCCGTCGGCAAGGGAGGAAGACGTCTTTCCTGTGGGGAGACGGACCGTCACACGCCGTCGGAAGGAGAAATGTCCGTACTGTGATTCTACATTGACGGGATTCTCGAATCTCGTCAGTCACTGTCGGTCATTTCATCCGGAACATCCTCGACCGCTTCCCGAACCCGAATGCGATTTCTGTGACATGGTTTTCCCCACACGGAGAAGCACCGCACAGCACAGAAGTCGCTGCGCACACAACCCAGACGCCACTCGACATCGAAACAGCAGTGCCAGGAGGCGATCTCTGCTACCGCAGGATCAGCCTGCTTCCACAAGCACGCCAATTGGCCCGCAGGAAACCTTGCACCATCTGCTTCTAGAATGTCCAGGCACCTTGGCTGTGCGCCAAAGATTGGACATTGAACAGGACCCTCGCCTCGGAAAGTTCTCTCAATGGCAGTTGCTTCACAGCAGGAAACTTTTGTCGCTGCTCGACCACCTCTTCGGCACTCAGATGGCAATTAATAGCTAGACGCGCTGATAAAAGAAAAAAAAAAAACATTTGGAAACCTTTTTATTTCTGTGTATGGCTTCTGTGTGTTGCGGTGTTTTTGTTTTTTTGCCGGTGGATGTAATGGGCGTCACGCCACCTTTCTATGCCCCAGCTTTTGCTCCAATGCTGCGGGCGCCCGTTCTTTGTGGCTGCGTGCTTCGTGTAGAGGCAGATGGTCCAAATAATTCTCGATTGGCAGCGCTTGTGCGGGCTTCTTTGTGCGCGTGTGTGGGAAAGAGTTGTTCATGGGGATATTTTTGGCGGTTGCGAGCAGGCTGCGTTGCTACTGGAGCGGTGCGAGGGCAGGTGGACGGCTCTCGTTGCGTCATCTTGCCTGATGTGTGTGCGTGAGAGTGGGCAGCATTCGTGTGTGCTTCGCTTGTGGGGTCGGAGCGCTTTTTTGGTGCGGCACTGCGCGTTTTCCGCTTTAGCGACGTGCGTCTTGTCGATTGTGATCGACTGAGGCTTCTTGCCTTGCCGCTCTCTTTGTTTGCTGTGAGTGGAATCCCACTGTTGCGTTCCGCCTCTCCTGCATTTCCACTCCTCCTTTCTCTCCCAGTTTGCATAGCGGCGAAAGAGAAAAGTTAAGCGCACAAAGCGGCAACTCAGCCAAACTGAAGTTAACGTCACTTATGCTCCTTCAGGCGCTGCTGGTTCTGTCCGCGGTGGTGGTGGCGGTGGCCGCTCCGGACGGCACCGGGAAGGTGGAAGCGCCATGCGTCGGTATCGATCTCGGCACGACATACTCGGTTGTGGGCGTGTGGCAGAAGGGAGATGTGCACATTATCCCGAACGATATGGGCAACAGTATCACGCCGTCCGTAGTGGCCTTCACGGAGACTG